TTTTTTTTTTTGAAATTGGACTGTGAGGGATTTTGTGCCTGGCTTGGAAAATTTTGAGGTGGGCTTTGAATGGTATAATTTTATTTAATTTTTCTTTTTTTTTTTCTAGTTTTCTTGAATTTATTCAGGGCTCCCCCCGTTTTTTAATCTTGGAATGGAGTCTGAAAATGGGGCTATAGTTGAGGATGAAAAAAGAGTTGTGTTTGAGAACTCTAATGGAGGAGGGGCGATTCTGGAAGTATTAAACAAGGATGAAACTGAATTATCCAAAGATGTTGTAATAAAGGTTAAAGGATCAAATGAGGGTACCAAAAATCCCACCACCAAAGGCAAGAATAAGCTCGATTCGAAAGGGTCGGCCGTGTTTGGCCGCACCGCGAAACCGACATTGTCCCAGAGCATCTCGTTCCCCGCCAGAGGTGCAATTGTAAGGAAATCCGAGGCGCATAAGACGGAAGCCAAACAGGGTCGAAAAGCTGCTGAAAAGGTTTCGAATGGTAATGGACAAGTTGTGAAGAGCTCGGGCAAAAGGGCCACCGAACGTGCAACTTCAGCTGCAGTGCCAAACCCGCATCAATCTCCAGTAGGATTTTTCTTCTTTTAGTGTTGTTTTTCTTAGATGTTTAAGCTTTATGAAAAAGACCCTTTCATATATTTGTCTACTTAATATGTCTGATTGACATTTTTGATTGTATGGCTTGAATTCAGTTTGGAAAGCATGTGTCACCTGATGGAACTGCAGCTGGACCAACATTTGAAGTGTAAGCAAATCGTTGTTAATTGATTTTTCGTATCCGACGTGTAAGCAAAGCATTATTTCCTGATTTTCATGTACTTGAACATTTATTTTCGTTTACTTGCACTGAGATTTGGATCACAAATGTATGTTTGGCCTTCTAAATGTTCAATTTTGCTCAAGTCCAACACAGAAAGAAAGTGCTAAACTTGCGCAAATTTTGGCGAACGAACCATAATTATCCCAAATTTAATTGATTGGGTGACTTTAATTCACCAGCAGCATTCATATTTTGCCATATTATATATTATCCTTGCTCATACCGATGTATTGAGTTGTCAATGTAGTTTTATTGAAAACAAATTGGAGCCTGAAAACAATGTATTGCCTGCAAAGGAAGAAAATGAGGAGGATGCTCATTCCATTACTTCGTCGTATGTTTTCTTAATCTTTGACTCCTTTAATTCATTCTTCTTCAACGTATATCTGTTTGTCTTTTTCGTTCAGCTGAAAAGGTTGTTCGTAAAATTTTTGTAATGACAGGACTCTTACTCCACGTGCTGCCCAGCAGAAGGTCAATGTCTCGACATTCTCCTTCAGGTTGGAACAACGTGCTGCCAAACGAAAAGAGGTAGGCGGCTTTGAATGCATTATTGCAATTTTATATTTCTTGAAATTAAAAATGGTGTGACTTGATTGCTGATATTTGTCTTTATGGTCAGTTCTTTTCGAAGATAGAAGAGAAAATACACGCCAAGGAACAGGAAAAGAGTAATATGCAAGCAAAATCGAAGGTGCTTGAGGATGGTGTTTCAATTTATTAAATTATTTTATATTAATTGTGTGTGTGTGTGTGTGTATTTTTCTAGGAGCTTGTTTTGGTTAATTCATTTTTATGTATATTTGTTTTATTTTGATATTATAGGAAAACCAAGAGGCAGAAATAAAGCAACTGAGAAAGAGCTTGACATTCAAAGCTACACCTATGCCGAGTTTCTACAAAGAACCTCCTCCAAAAGTTGAGCTGAAGAAGGTATTTTGGCTTGAATTTTGCTTGAACTTAATGTACTCTGCCTTTAGTCACTGCCGGAGTACACTATATCACTGTACTATACTACACTATACTCCATCGAATTTTTATGGTAAAAAGTATACTTTGTGATTTATGGTGTGACGCAGCCAAATACGTCTATATTTATGTGTACTCAGTAAAAACGTCTGAATCTTTGCGTATCTTTTTTGCACAAAGAATATTTTGATTGTCTGCCTTAAGTGTGTAAATCAACATTGACACCTTTTTTCTTAATCTCCATCAATTGAGAACCATTTACTGAGGAGTTGAGACTCTTTGAATAATGTTGGTGTATATATACTAAAAAAGTTGGGTTTTTTTTTTTCTTCTTTCTGTTTGTATTCATACAGATACCAACTACTCGTGCAATATCCCCAAAGCTCGGGAGGAACAAGGGCAACATGTCAACGCCTGGCGACTCTCTGGAAAATGGGGAATCGTGCGTCAGTCTGAAACTGACCAAAGAAAATCGCATTAACTCACTGAAAATTCCTAAAATAAACGCCGAAAAGGCGAATGCTGCTCAAAAGAAGTTACCCAAAAGAAGCTCCCTCTCGAAGCCTCAAAACCGGGAATCTTCGGTCTCTAGTCAAGCCAAACAAGTTTCGAAAGAAGGCCAAAAGGAGCAAGCTAATGCGGAAAGCTCGGACGAGATCAAGGATCGGCCATCTTGTGCTCCGGAAATGGAGGATCAAAAGCCCGAAGGGCATGAAAGTAATTTGGCCGAGTGTAATGGATCGCGCCCGAATTCTGAGGCATTGATTGCTGCTGATGTCACCGCCGAAGGTTGAATCAGGTTTTCCTTCACCCTGCATGATGTTGTTTTTCCTACAGAAAGAGAGGTCAAACTGCAAATTAAGTATGTTTTGTTGTGAATACAGATTTTATCGTTTGATATGGATATGTATGTGGTACTGAAGTTATTCTTTGTTTATATTCGTTGGGTAATTTGAGAGAAGTTGTGTATATGGGGTTATATATGATGGATTTCATCCGGCATTTATCGATCATAGTAGCTGTTTTTAAGTTATTTTAGCACATTCCGTGAAGATTCATGCTCTTTGTTTCCATTGGAATATATTACTATAGGATTTTCTCTTGAAATATAACAATTTTTTGATAGTGTATGAGTCACGATTGTCATAATATTTTGGGTTAATTGCATAAAAAACCACCACATTTTATTTAATTGTAAATAAAACTTAACTTTTTCAATTTGGCAAAAAAATACCTAACTTTTATTAAGTGTTGCAATTTTGTCTCGTCTGTCGGACCGCCGCCGCCATCCGCCGCCGCCAACTTTGCCGGATATTGAAAATTTTTATATGATATTGTTGCTCTCCTCCGTGCCAACAACATATCCGAGTTTCACGAAAAAAATTTGACGACAAGATGTCCAATTTTTCGGTCAAAGGTCGTAAAAAATTTAGATCTACGACCTTGGACCGGAAAATTGGACGTCTTATCGTCGAAATTTTTTCGTGAAACACGGATATGTTGTCGGCACGGAAGAGAGCTACAAGATCATATAAAAATTTTCAATATCCGGCAAAGTTGACGGCGACGGGTGGTGGTTGGCGGCGGCGGTCCGGCGGACGAGACAAAATTGCAACACTTAATAAAAGTTAGGTAATTTTTGCTAAATTAAAAAGGTTGAGTTTTATTTGCAATTAAACAAAAGGTGGTGGTTTTATATGCAATTAATCCTAATATTTTCCTTTTTTTTCTGTCTTTATCTCGGTGATCCAATGAGTTGGATCACAGATAAAAATTGTTGGAATGTCACTTGTGAGTTGTCCCACATTGATTTGATAGGGTAAATAGGCCTAACTTATAAGCCTAGTGGGCTACTCCTCCTACTACCAATTGGTTTTGGGATGGAACCCCACTTGGGCTTCATTTGGGCTAACCCTCTTATGGTGCGCTTCACCTGTGTGGGACCGCACTCGTATTGCCCCCGTTTGACAAAAATATTCTAAAAAATAGCTCAAAATAGGAGTTGGGTGGTGAATTCAATGTTACATGCTACGTAAGTGGTGGACATATTAACATGTATTCACCGTGTGTAGGAGAGCATTACCGTTAGATTCTCATCCCTTGAATTTGATCGGCTTCATTTCCCAATGACTTAACCATAGCACCAATTAGACTAAACAATAGTATAGGGTCAAATTATAATTATCACCGAGTTGCATTTAATTTGCTTCCAAGACTTGATCACATGCAAGGGTAGGGGAAGTTTTTAAAACCGTTGGATCTGGGATGATGGGAATCCGACGGCTTCAACTTCGTGTCCATTGGGATAGAATTCTCCCACTTGTAAAGTATAGATAAAACTCACGTTGTGCGAGTCCTCCTACCAAAAATAAAAAATGAAGGGAACAAATTATTTTCACCCCAATACAAAGACATTAAATTTTTCACAATGCCCAATAAAAAACTAAGTTTTAACTCCAGAAAGTGCGAAGGTTATGCGAAAACCTGTCGCATAACTGTTGCATATTAATTACATAACTACCGCATATTCATTGCACAATGCCTTCGCACTTAAACTTTTTTTCACCCAAAAAGTGCGAAGGAATATGCGAATGCCTTTGCACTTTTAACTTTCGCACAATGTCATCTTGCATTTGTCGCATACTCATCGCACAATGTCTTTCGCACTTTCTGGGGTGAAAAACTTAGCTTTTTATTGGACGGTGTAAAAAACTTAACAAGACTTCAAAATGAGGTGAAAGTAACTATTTTCACAAAAATCAAATAGACACAATCCGATGTAAGTGTTATGTACACCTTTATGTATATTTATTCTGTACTTCTAGCATCTTTTAAAAAGCTATCTGCCAGCACATGGATTTTTTTTTCAAATTTTTGGCTATTTAATTACAGTTTGGAATTGAATTTGCCTATGTCTAGTCACACAAACACATAATTCCGTGTGAACTGTAACATCGAGCTAGACATTGCAAGGGCCGACCCGAACTACAGGTTTTGGAACCGGACACGTAATAATATCGAGGCGGTTCCATATCTTAGTTTTTTCTTTTTGGCCTATCGCATTTGGGTCGTCGATTCTGCGTCGGAAGAAGGGTTGTAGTTTTTTATTTTAAAAAAACGCAGTTCAATGAAACGTCGGATAGATATTTCCACGGGCTGAACCGGACCCTTAGAGTCGCGGTTCGGTTCCTTTTTTTTTTGACCCGTCGGTCTAATTCGGGCTGGGGGTCGCGGGCCGGATTGCAGGTCACGGTTCTATTTTTTTAAAACGCTGCCCGAAACCCGGCGGTTCAAGGCCGGTTTTATGAACCGGTCTATAGTTTATTTCGGGCCGGCCATGGGCCATGATATTGAGGCCCGTCGGGTCCGGGTCGCGACCCGGCAATTGGCCACCTTTAGGTCGGGTCGTGCCAGTTCCGGGCCCAACACTTGAGGCCTATAGTAAATTTTATTACATAACTCCAAATCGATCTTAATATAATGGTATAGTTTAACTTGTAAAATTGTAAAACATATGGATAGTATTGAAAAATTGTATAAGTTGATATAAAAAAGAATATTTTGAAATATATTTTTTCGGTTTGAAAATAATTTTTTCAGTTGGAAATGAATTATTATTTGATAGGACAATGACAAATGAATTATCCTTCGATATGACAATGACATTTACTACAAAATGAATTCTAGAATAACTTGTTTTTTTTAGAGATGGCCTTTTGAAAAATATAACAGTAAAATCAATATAAAAACCTATATTTTTTAAAGTAATTCAAGCAAGTTAATCCATGTTTGCATGTGAAATGAACAAAAGTGTTGGTATGACTCATATATTGACAAAGGAAGAAGGGGCAGACTGATGCCTGCAAGCGTAGCCATTGTCGAACCACGTAAATTTTGTGTTGTTTACTTTCTCGTTTTTAATTCGTACGTCATATTGTCATCTTCTCTCAATAAAAAGGAATTGGTAGCTAGGGACAAACATGTCAAATTAAAATTAAAAAAATAAGAAGGAAATGTTAATTGTTCTTTTACAGAACTATTCCGTCGAGATTTACAACCGTTAAATCATCATGTAACCGTCCGGAATAGTTGATTTAACGATTATCAACTCTGACAGAATAATTCCGTAACGAAACCGTAGCATATTCCTAAAATATCTACTAAAAGAACGAAAAAAAATGGATCACAAGACTTGCACACATAATGAAAAACCCAAATTAACTCAAACAACCGTGATAGTGGACAGTAGAACTAATTTTCAACATTATATATATTCTTCAAAAGGACCGTATTTTGTGCAAATTTACCAACACAAACTTACATACAAATAAAGAAATGAAATTTTATGTAATTACAGTAATTATAGCAAAATAACCAAAGAAATCACATAAAAAAAAAAAATGAAGTAAAACTCTCCTGCAGGGTTGTGAAGGATCGACAAACATCAATGAAATCATCTCCACCCCTTTAATGCTCATCCTAAAAAACTGCAGTAACAAATTATTTTTTTCATTAATAATATTTCCATAATAAATACTAATTAATTATGAGAAATGCTAATACGGTATCGTTATGGAACCATTCTGTCGGGGTTTGTAACCGTTAGATCAACTATCGTCAACGGTTACATTATAATCTAACGATTGCAAACCCCGACGGAATGGTTCCGTAATGAAACTGTAGCATCTCCCATTAATTATATCAAGATTCAAAAAAAATGAAAAAAAATAAATAAATAAATTTGCGTACGTACTCACCTTTCTGGGCCATCGTATTTCCTTTCCCTTTATTATTATTATTTTTTGTTTTTTTTTTTTTTAATATGAGATAATAAGAATTTATTAATGACAGCTAGAGAAATGCGAGTCTTGTCCAACAACCCCAAGCATTGTGCAGGCCATTTCCAATAATTTCCCTGCAAAAAATATCAAAACAATATTACATAATTATTATTAGTGCTGTCGAATTAAATGAGTCTAGTTCGGCTCGGCTCATTAAGGCCTCGAATTGAGGCTCGAGTTCGAGGCCTTAACGAGCCAAGCTCGAGCTCATTTAAAGCTTGTTTAGTAAACGAGCCGGGTTCAGTTCGGCTCGTTAAGGCTTGAGAAGAGAATTTTTATATAATTTTTTTATAGTTCGACTCGTTAAAAGTCGAGCTTGAGCTCGATTTTTGACTCGTTTATTTAACGAGTCGAGCCGACCCTACTGCAGAACGATATTTGTAATTAATAATAATAATAATCAATTAATATGGTATGTAAACTTGTAAAGTCAAAACAGACAGGCTGGGCTGTGGGCAAAATACGGTACACCCTAAAAATCTAGCCAATAAAATAAAGCTGGCCAACCTATAATGCATAATTTGCTTTTAACAAGAAGGTTCTTACCGTGTTCCCAACACCACCTGATCACCAGACCCTCACCGACAGAAGCACACACCCATTATTAAACACTTAAATAGGAAAAAAAAATAAAAATTAAAAGAGAACCTTTTCATGTGATGTGCGTGCACTACACTGCAATTCATGTGCTAAAGAGAGCATATATAGTTGAAAAATTTGTAACTCTGATTATAACAGCCTGCCTACCTAAACAAGTTATTTTTACCTAAAACCCGTCTTGTTAAGTAATGTTACTATTGGTCAACTTAACAATGGGAGAATCCACGGACCGTTACGGAACCATTATGTCGGAGTTTATTAACCATTAAATTAACTATCCACGACGGTTATATGATGATCTAACGGTTACAAATCACGACAGAATGATTCCGTAACGGGAATGGGAATGTAGCATTTCCCCTTAACAATTAGTGTCATAAATAAATTAATATTTTAAAATTAAAATATCCCCCTTATATATTAATACAGAATGCGCTGAGCCTACGTGGCTGCTTCTGGTGCTTCTGTTTCTGGTGCTTCAGAATCCTATGTGACAAAATTACATGCTTCGTTATTAGGTTTGGGTAAATTTTAATTTAATTCCAAACCAAAAATAATTAGGTTCGGATTACCATAAATATGTTGATTATTTATGGTCATGTTACATGTATTAATTGTATTTTAATATCATTCCTTATTATAACTATTGAATTGTATATATATTTTAAAAGTTAATAACTTTTGTATTTTTATCAGTTTTACATATGTAATATATCAAATTAATCTTCTTTTGATAAGCTTCGATTTAACATCCATATTGTATGTATAAAAAAAATAATTTATATTTATATTTATAACAATAATAAAATTATTTTTAATATTAATTAGAAAAATAAAATTATTTATCAACTAATATATTTATATTTCAAGTAGTTAAATGATATAAGTTATAAAAACTAATATAATATAACACATGTAAGTCATAAGTAACACATATCATTCTAAAATATATAGTAATATATTTTTATTTTTTTTGTAAAAAAGTAAACTAAATTTAATATAATTTTCTCATTAATTTTAACATTTAAGAATAATTTTTTAACAAGCACCCGTGTAATACACGGGTATTGTATTAGTTATATTCTAAAAAGCAATATCAACAAATAATATTGTGAAATTCTTCCCAGAATTAGTTAATTACTGTATTAAGTAGTATTAGGTCTGCTAATTATATAAATTATATAAAGCTAAGTATATAAGCCCAAGAATTAAAACCAAATAATAATATGCAAAAACAGCCAATTTGGGGCAGCTGTAAACACCTAAAAGAAAATTATTCCCTTTTGACCCACCATTAACCATTACCATCACCATCACCACTAGCAAAAAAGACCCATCGGAAATTAATTAACCAAACCAGATTCCGGCCAAAGTTTAACGAGCCCATCAAAAAGTCCGGCAACGACCGGAATCAGCAGTACTCACACATCCAACATAATCAAAACTGAATGCCTAAAAAATAAAATATTAACAGCTCAAAAGAAAGAACTAAATAAATTAAATTAAATACCTCTTCTGGGCCCGGCAACAATCTTGGCGGCGACCGGCGACGCTTTCGCCGGAGAGCTGGTACTCTCCGGCGGTAAAAGAACGTTGTCGATCCCCTGCACTGAGATCCTGCCGTCAGTGTAGATGTCCGGATCCAGCAGATAAGCGGGAGACCCGTTGGATCCGAATTGGACCGACCCGTCTGCCTCTACCGCCGCCACCTTGTGCGGAATCCTGAGGGTGTCGTAGTTCACCGTCCCGAACCTCCGGACGGCGTTGTACATGCTCTCCTCCGTCTGGTACTCCGGGATTATATGGTAGTAGATGATATTCTCCGGCGCCCCTCCGTCGCTCAGCTGGTCCGTCGTCAGCTTCGCCATCGCCTCGTCGTTGGGCGCGAGCACCGTCAGGACGTAGCCCTCGGAAACGAGTTTCCCCATCTCCGAGGCTAGTGAAGTGAGGTTGACGAGGATGTCGGCCAGCTCGTTGTACCCGCCGTAATGCAGCAGTGTCTGGATGAAGTCCTTCACCTGGGCCGCGCCGTCGAAGTGGTGGTGGGCCCCGCCGGGTCCAGGGGCCGGCGCCGGCGCGAGGGATGGGCCGGGGGCCATGGCGTCGAAGATGGGGAGGGCCGGGGGAGAGCCGGCGGGGACGGGTGCGGAGAGTTTCTTGAGGCGGTGGGTGCGCGGGTCGACCTCCGGGGCGCCCTCCGGGATGACGGCGGAGGTGGCGCGGAGGCTGCGGCGAGCGTTGAAGTCGTGCTGGACGGCGCGGGGGACGAGGAGGCGCTCGATCCCGTGGATGACGCCGTCGGGACGGGAGACGTCGTCGGGACGGATGATCCGGGCCGGGCCGACTGTCCCGGCGGAAACGGGGATCTTCTCGGCGGCTGCGTCGGGGCAGAGGCTGGCGTGGCGGAGGGGTTTTCGGGTCGGGTCGGCGGGCCAGCGGCGGGCCTCGAGGCGGGTGGGGATCATGTGGAAGAGGAGGAGGTTCTGGAGGGAGCGCAGGTTGCGGGGCTCCAGGAGGAACCGCTTGAACTCCGGGTCGAGATCCCGGTCGAGGGCCTCGTTTTGAGGGGCGAAAATGGTAATATTGTGCTCCGACACGGCCCGCTCGAGGGTCTCCAGGAGGAGGGCCTTCTCGACGAGCTCGGCGAGCTCCGTGTAGCGGGAGTCGAGGAGGGCGACGAGTATGGAGTTGGAGTTTATGGCGGCGGCGGAGGACGGCTTGGATGTGGCGTTTTCCGGCAATGCGGCGGCGGAGATGAGGAGAGCAGCGGCGGTGAGGAGGATGAGGAGATTGGGGACGCCATAGATCTGAGAATCCATGGCGTTTTGGGGGGATTTGGTATTTCTCTCTCTCTCTCTCTCAAATTTTTGTGAGAGAAATAAGGTAAAGTAGAGTTGAGGTTGTCTGAAGGGGAAAGGGGAGAGAGATGTGGACTTGCTTTGCTTTGGGTAGTGGAAAAATGTGTTATGTAGTCTTTCTATTTTCTTTATTATTTTTCGGGTTTGGTGTGGAATATATTAAAGTAAGAGGAAAGCATAGTCGGGGGTGTTTCTGGTATTTCGCATCGTTACTATGTGTGTTTGAGTGTGAGAGAGAGTTGTGTGTAGGCTGTACTAGAGAGTTTGGGACTAGGACAAGAGGGTTTGGAATGTTAGACAAATTTTAGCGGTAGTTAAAATTTTAAGGGATATGCTACGGTTATGTTACGAAATTATTTCGTCGAGATTTGTAATCATTAAATTTATCATGTAATCGTCGGAGATAGTTGATCTAACGATTATAAACTCTGACGAAATTTTAATATTTTATTAATTAGTGTCTTTATTTATTTTTTTGATATAAATTCAAGATAAATAAGATATTTAATTAAGAAAATAATTGTTTCTTGCACACCAGTCAAATTTAGGATAAGGAAATAGATTATATCAAATCTTAGGAGAAGGAAAGAGATTATGTCAAATCATGAAGGACCAATCAAATTGAAGTCTTCTTTTCCAAGACGCTCTCTCCTACACCTGTAAATAGGGCTCTCCTCAATGCCACAAATCATACTTCATAAATTAACACCTCTTGGATCAAAGTCTCAAAAACTCTCTTGAAGATTTGAAGACATTCTTGAAGATCCAAGACATTCAAGAGATTGGCGTTGAATAATCAAGACTTCTAGCTTCTGAAGTACGCTCAATGGAGAAGAAGGCCAAGAAGAAGAAAAAGAGGCGGCGACTCTTCCCCAATAAGTAATGAGACGACTTCCACTCCTCTCAAGTCAATCCAAGAATATCAACGACGTTCAAGCGACATTCAAGCCCCGATCGTTGAGAAGTTCAACCAACATAGCGTTTGATTCGAGAAAAAACTATCAAGCCCTCGAATCAACGTTATTCAAGTCAGATTCCCTCTTTCAAGGATCGAAGAATCAAGTCTTACAAGAAGTCATATTCAATCAAGTCAAGACCTAACATTTAATACGAGAATAATTCATTCGACCCCAAATTAATGTTAAAGAAATTCAAGTCAAGTCAAGGCCTAACATTTAATACGAGAATAATTCATTCGACCCCCAAATAAATGTTAAAGAAATTCAAGACCAAACCCGAAGGAGGTTCAATCGTCAAATCCATCTTTCAAGATCTCAAACTCAAATCCATGAAGAGAAGAATCAGAGAAGATAAATAGAGATTGTACCCGCATATCGTTTTATCAAAATATAAATCAAGTTGTACAGAAATTTTATGTTTTTCTTAAAATTTGTTGTCACAAAACCGTAACATTTCCCACAATTTTAGTAGCTTTTTAGTAGAATCGAACATAATTAATTGTTTTTTTAATTTGAATTTTTATTTTTATTAAAAAAAATGCGAGCCAGCTTCATTAGGCGGATTGATCTCTTATTAAAATATTAGTTAAATTGAATCTTGTTATTAGTCTTAAAAATGTATTTTTTTTTTTCTAATAAAAAGTATGTCTATTAGTGAAAAAGAAATTATATCTAACTTGATAACTAGATCAATACCCTATATCAAATGTTGGGATTCCGATAAAGGAATATATTGTTTTCACATTTTAACCATCATTAAAGTCATATCTTTTGTAAATAACGTTGACAAATGATGTACGTAGGTATATGTATCGTTAATTGATGATGATGATGTGATGTCGCACCTATAATCGGCTTTCCTTTGTTCTCACACCGTTTTTCTTTTCGAAGATCTGTAGAGTACGCCAAGAAGTATCTACGACGTCAAATCTCCGACGATCAAGTTGGTAAAGGGTTATAAAAAACTGTACCTATGATGTAATTGTATTGTAATGCGTAGATGGTATATATTGTTATTAACTTTTACATTTCATACGTTCTCCATATTTATATTAAATCATTGGCTTCTTGAATAAGTTTTGCCCAATTTGACTGCACGAAAGCCTGCCCTAGTGTCTGGATTATCCAAGGGTCTGTCCGACAGTTATTTGGCTACCCCTAGATTTGTCTTAGACACATTTTAATTCGTAAGATCATTTAGGTCCTCCTTATATAGCCCTACACGTGTCTCCTATATATTAACAGATAATCCTACCTTTTATTTGTAGGTCTTCTTAATTCTTACGCTCTATTAGCTTCTATAAGTTACTCTCTAAACCAAGTCTCCATAGGTTGTCTTCATCAAATAGGTCCCCCGGCCTATTTAACATAATTTTACATATTTTGTCCTAGCTATTACACTATCCGATATGTTGGAATACTAACCTCATGTTACTTTAGCTACTATAGGTCCGAGTTACTATATATTCGAGCTACTGTCACATTATATTGTCCGAGTTACTATCATGATCACAATATTTTGTCCAAGATATCGTCAAGCTATGTTGTTCGAGCTACTGTCACAATATATTGTCTAAGCCACTTAGGACCCGCTCACTCAGGCAAACTGACCAACTAACCCGAGCTACTTTGGGATCGATTAACTCGAGTTGACTGCGGCCGAGTTTTTTATTATTCTTATTATTAGCCAATTTACCCGAGTTACACTATATGTTGTATCATCTAACTCCCCCTTACTAATGGAACTATTGTTTTCCGAGCTACTTTGGAACTAGGACACGAGGGTTTGGAATGTTGACAAACTTTAGGGGTAGTTAAAATTTGATTAGTAGCTATTTTATAGAGTCAAACATAATTGTCTTTGTTATCTGAATTTTAATTAAAAGAAATTGCGAGCTGGCTTGATTAGGCCGATTGATCTCTTGTTATAATATTAATTAAATTGACATTATTAAATGTTGTACTTGTTATTAGTTTATAAAATGTAATATTTTTTTAATAAAATGTACTCCCTCCTTTTTAAATTATATGTCGTTTTGACTTTTTTGATTCATCTATTTTACTATGTATCTAGATAATAATAATGTCTACATACATAGCAAAATTGATGAATCAAAAAAATCAAAACGACATATAATTTAAAACGGAGGTAGTAATATCAACTTGAGTATAATTAGATCAATACCTACAACAAATGTTGGGATTCCTATAAAGGAATATATTGTTTTTTCTATGATCACCATCATAATTAGAATCATGTCTATTATACATAACGTTGACAATTAATTTAGGTATATGTATTGTTGATATGATTAATGTCGCACTAATTTGAAGTAATATCAAACTTGAAATGAAATTGTATTGAGAGCAAAAGTTCACGAGGTTACACTAATGAATTGAAATTAGGCTAATTTTAGAAATATGCTACAGTCTTGTTACAGAATCATTTCGTCAGGGTTTGTAATCGTTAAATTATCATGTAATTAACAGTTACACAACCCGACGGAATAGTTCTGTAGCGAGATCGTAGCATCTCCCACAATTTAATCGGCAACCACCGGTTATCCTTATTTTCAACGTTATTATTAATGCGTGAACTTTATTAGATGGAAAAATTTGCCGAAAATGATATTATGAAAAACAAAACCATATGAAAAAAGGGCAAAAATGTGATGGAGAGTTTGCTTGGGAATTCAAAAAAGGTAAAAGTTATGAGGACAAATGTATGGATCCGAATTATTGCAATTGGGTCAAATGAAATGCATTGGCTTTTCATCATAAATACGTATAAAATAAAGGAAAATGCTACCGGTCTCGTTATGGAATCATTCGTCGAGATCTGTTAGATTATCAGGTAATCGTCAGAAATAAGTAATTTAATGGTTACAAACCTGACGGAATAGTTCTGTAACGGGACCGTAGCATCTCCCTAAACAAATATTAGCTAGCAATTTATTACTACTAATTTTGTGTTAATAAGAGAATTATAATAATGTTTCACCCAGAAAAAGTAGGGTTTCCAAGGGTAGAATGGTAAATGTCGTCAAACAGGCTGGAGGAGGGACCACACGGTTAGAGATTTGCTGTCTTGGGCTGGGCCGTTTGGCCGAGCTGCAGTTTTAATCCCATAATTTTGGTAATAAAATTGACCAGCTTTTAATTAATTAATTAATTAATTATTTATTTATTTATTTATTGATGTAAATTATTGATGTAAAATTGTAACTTAATCGAATGGTGGAATTTGGAATGATAACAGTTTTTATAGGCAGATGTTACGGTCTCGTTATGAAACTTTTTTGTCGGAGTTTTAAACTGTTAGATCAACTATCCTTAAAGATTACAAACTCCGACGGAATGGTTCCGTAACACCGGACTGTGGCATTTCCCATTTTTGTATTATTGATTTTAAATCTCAAATTTAAAAGCACTTCAATTTTTTTTTTATTGAATTTTTAATACCAATATATGTAAATTTGTTGACATTTTGTATAGCATATTGCCATTTTTATTATTTAATTAATTATGGACATTAAAGATGCACCTTTTATCATTTATCTTTTTGACATTCATTTCCAGATAAATAAATGTATATATAAGAAAATAAAATAAAAATAGCCACTGATGAATTACCATCAGACAGCTAGGCTCAGCTGAAAGCTGCTAACTAAAAAAAATGGCGCGGCTGAAGAATGTGAGCCGTGTTGATCAAAGTACAGCCGGAAGGCCAGCTGTCCCTGTCGGAAAATGAATTAAGTGCCATGTTTCTAAGCCAAGCTTCCAGAAACCGCACGCTCCTTCAAGATTGCGAAAGCGCGTGCGACTCACCTCTCAAACGAAGACATCTCTCCAAATGGAGGGTCGTTTGTCATCTCATACTTTACGAATTTGCGACTATTTTCTCTCTCTCAAATTAGAAATCTAATTGAGTTTAAAGATTTTGTTTAATTCCTAATGAGATTTATCTTACACAAATTCTATTTGAGCCAACCAATAGTTAGA